GAATGGAAACACAGCAAGTAACCTTAACTGTATCTATTACTATTCACGCATTCCAGCCATGACTGGTTATATATATATATGTTGAAACAAGTATTTGAAGTAATTTTAACTGTTTATAAAACTAAAAAAAAAAGAAGGAATATGGTTTTGGTGTGGCAGTTATGTCTAGGGAGTCAGTGGTCAGGTTGTTATTGGGATATGAAATGTGAATGATAACAAAAAAACAACAACAGAAAACATGAGCAGTAACACTGGTCTACAATTTTTGAGACGTCGTCTGCTTCAGAGATAAAATGTGCTATTTATTATGTATTTTGATGTGCTGAATTCAAATATGACAATTAAAACAACTGATTGGCTACTGTTTCTAAGATATTTAAGTTTTTACATTTTATGTCATGTATATTGTGTAGATAGTAGAGTTTTAATCATAAATTGTAAACCTAGGTCTTTTCATGTGTTTATGGTTGCTTTACATGATAATATTTCACCTGTCCTGTTTATGTAACACTTTAAAAATCAGCAAAAGGGTTATATAAATACAATTTATTATGAAACAAAAGGCAAAAAACTATTCTGTACATAGTTTAGTCCTATTCAGTGTCTACTCGGCGCTTCTTGGCTTGTCTCTTGTATTCATTAAATGGAGCATCTCTCGTCACTGTCCAGCAATACTCTGCAAACATTGATGGGCTCCATTTGCCCTGATAGCGTTTCTCCATTGTTGCAATGTCCTGGTGAAATCGCTCGCCGTGCTCGTCGCTCACTGCTCCGCAGTTCGGTGGAAAAAAAACTAGATGAGAGTGCAAAAAATGTATCTTTAGTGACATGTTGCAGCCAAGGCTTTTGTATGCCTTGAGGAGGTTTTCCACCAACAACCTGTAGTTGTCTGCCTTGTTGTTTCCAAGAAAATTTATTGCCACTAACTGGAAGGCTTTCCATGCCGTCTTTTCCTTGCCACGCAGTGCGTGGTCAAATGCATCATCTCGAAGAAGTTCACGAATCTGAGGACCAACAAAGACACCTTCCTTTATCTTAGCTTCACTTAACCTTGGAAATTTTCCACGGAGGTACTTGAAAGCTGCTTGTGTTTTGTCAATGGCCTCGACAAAGTTCTTCATCAGACCCAGCTTGATGTGTAAGGGTGGTAACAAAATCTTCCTTGATTCAACAAGTGGTGGATGCTGAACACTTTTCCTCCCAGGCTCCAATGACTGTCGGAGTGGCCAATCTTTCTTGATGTAGTGGGAATCTCTTGCACGACTATCCCATTCCCAGAGAAAACAGTAGTACTTTGTGTATCCAGTCTGCAGACCAAGCAAGAGAGCAACAACCTTCAAATTGCCACAAAGCTGCCACTTTGGTCATAGTTTATGCACCTCAAAAGTTGTTTCATGTTGTCATAGGTTTCCTTCATATGGACTGCATGACCAACTGGAATTGGTGGCAAAACATTGCCATTATGCAGTAAAACAGCTTTAAGACTCGTCTTCGATGAATCAATGAACAGTCTCCACTCATCTGGATCGTGAACGATGTTGAGGGCTGCCATCACACCATCGATGTTGTTGCAGGCTACAAGATCACCTTCCATGAAGAAGAATGGGACAAGATCCTTTTGACAGTCACGGAACATGGAAACCCGAACATCACCTGCCAGGAGATTCCACTGCTGTAGTCTGGAGCCCAACAGCTCTGCCTTACTCTTGGGTAGTTCCAAATCCCTGACAAGGTCATTCAGTTCACCTTGTGTTATGAGGTGTGGTTCAGAGGAGGAGGATGGGAGAAAATGTGGGTCCTGTGACATTGATGGTTCAGGACCAGAAGTTTCATCCTCTTCCTCTTCCTCGTCTGACTCAAGTGAGAATGATTCTGGTGCATCAGGAACCGGCAGTCCTTCTCCGTGGGGTACTGGGCGTATAGCTGATGGAATGTTTGGATAATGCACAGTCCACTTTTTCTTCTTTGACACACCTTTCCCAACTGGAGGCACCATGCAGAAGTAACAATTGCTGGTATGATCTGTTGGCTCTCTCCAAATCATTGGCACTGCAAAAGGCATAGATTTCCTTTTCCTGTTCAACCACTGGCGAAGATTTGTTGCACAAGTGTTGCAGCATATGTGTGGGGCCCACCTCTTGTCCTGATCTCCAATTTTGCAGCCAAAATAAAGGTGATAGGCTTTCTTAACCATAGTGGTTATACTGCGCTTTTGTGATGCAAAAGTCACTTCACCACAAACATAGCAGAAGTTATCTGCACTGTTCACACAAGTACGAGGCATCTCTGCTCACTTTGGCTAAACAGAAATGTGTCCCTTTGCAAAATCAAACACTGACAAATAAGAGAGCACGACACTGTATGATTTCTAGAGCTGATATAGGGCAATTTGTTCAGCAGAGTGATGTAAGCTTCGTTATGATTGCATCATCCATGACTTCTAGGAATAACATGATGCAATTCATATCATGTATGACGCAATACCAGCTTCAGATGGCATCATTCATTGTTTTGCCTAAAAAGCAAGTACTGTCCAAACCCAGTCATAGATTTATTCATAGATCCAGTCAGAGATGTATTTTAGTCATTTCTGGTTTAAATTGAGATCCCTTCCCTTTATAACTCACTTATCCTCCGCCATTCCCAAGTCAAGGGTCGTATATACTGACCCAATAGCATATCTTGAAAACTAGAGCCAATCAACAATTTTAAGCATCATTTTCGTTCTCAGTGACCCAGAATTAGTAAAGTTTGACTACATTTATTTCAGAAGCATTTTGGCTGTAGAGCAGTGTTATAATTAGAGATATTACAGACTTTCTTCACACCAGCCCAGCAACAATCTCATTTGAATCCAGCAGCAGGAAGCTTCTTGGAAAGTTGTGCTTTGAGTTCACTTCTTAGCTTCCCGGTAGAGAGACAAAGAGGTTGCCACTGCCTGAATGGATAGGCAGGAAGGAAGAAAGGAATGAGGTGTGAGCAGGGTATCTGTATGCCCAGGTGGAAAGATCAGATTACAGGTGGGGAGCTGGACAGAGCCCCACAGTTCCCACAGAATTTCCTACCTGGCCAAAACCTGGAAATACATTAAATATTATGTTGAAAGCCTAATTTCATGAGATTTCCAGACCGAGGATTAGCTCAACTCCCGACTGGTCAGTTAGGATACTTAACCAAAGCAAACTTCGAAACCTCAAGATTCATAGAATCATAGAAATGTAGGACTGACAGGGACTTCGAGAGGTCATCAAGTCCAGCTCATCTATGGTTGTTCATATGGAGGTGTTCAATGGCCTATTTGAAATATTAGTGGTCTTCTCCGGTTCTTGGTGGACAGGTAACCAGGCCTCATTCAATCTGTGACAAAGCCAACAGCAATACTTTTATGTAATGACTAGCGAGTGTATTGAATTTAAAGTTTGAATGGATCTATAAGTGGTCTGCCTTATGTAAGTATACTTTAAAAGAGTAAATTGCTGATTATCAGATAGTAGGAGATCAATAAGAAGATTCACTATATAGTCATTCATCAGAGACTTCAGATGGTTAATAGAATAGTACTGAGTTTTCAGGTCTCTAGATGCCAGATGATGGACTGCATGTGGTATGTGTTTGTCTCAGGAGCGGGAGCAAACAGAGAATAGGCAATAATTGAATGAATCAGAACAGATGAAATCAGATGAGACCTACTTGGAGATGCACTGTGAGTGTGTATCTCACTCTGACTGGTACGTCTAATGGCAAAGCCACAATGGTCAGATTCAAGTGAGAATACCTACATTTTTAAAAAATATGACAGAAAATAATTAGAACACAGTTGAGTGTTTCTTCATTCATGTCTTATTGAAAACCTTTGGGCTTCGAGAGCAGTCATGAAAATAATTAGCATATATGTTGTTATGAAGACAACAGCTACAAAAATCCATTTTGAACAAACTTCCAATCAGTCTTTCTTACCAAATACAATTTTTGTTGGCTTCAGAGATCACTTATTTTCTCTTTAATTTGTAATCCCTCTCTTCTGCTTCCAAATTGCTCATAGCAGTCTATTGCCAGATCAACCCTAAAGCCATCAAAGGTATTTCTTTTCCATTCCAGAAAACCATAATCATGCACTTGGCATGAGCAACTCTGGTGTATCAAGTTAATTACTATATAGACATTTAATTTTATAGCCACTATGCACAGAAATATGAATACTCCAGGAAAACAACAAGATGCATTTATACCACCATGTTTTCTGTCTCAGTTCTTCATTGCTCTTTGTTTTGCCCTAGTCTGCTTTATCATACAGTCTGGATTGAGATGAATGGTTATAAATTTTACGCCTGCCACTACAATTCTGTATGGAGCTCTCAGAGAATTTTTACTAAAAATCACACTGATAATTATGGAATTGCTGTTGTAGAGTCTGCACCATTGAAGTCATGGGAGTTTTGCCACTGGCTTCAATGAGAGCAAGAGCAAGCCTTTAGTATTGTTCCTAAGAGCTGTGACTAGACTTTCAGTTGGCCACATGTGGAGGCGGTTTCATGATACATTCTGAAAGTATAAGGTTCAGGGAATTTTCACGTGTCCAAACACAGATTTACTGAGTGGTGCCATGCAGCAGCATTGCAATGTTCTGACAACGTAAACAGTTACAGACGGTTGGCACTGAATCATTCCCATCATTCCCAAGATGTTTGGCAGCATAAACCATGGGGATTTTTTCTCCCTCTCATCAACACTTAAATTTCTGCTAAATCCCTTTATTTTATTTTTTTAGTTCATCCTTACTGCGCTAACACATGGATTAAGTTATTGACATGTTTAATATTCTCTTCTTTTCATTCATGGGAACTTTAAATGCTTATGAGCAGCAAGGAACTGACACTTCCAAAGTTCTTAAAATCCCTTGGTTTTATATCCAGAAAAGCCAGGAAAGCTGCAGATGGCTAAAGCATAACTGTAATGTATGTTTTCCTCTTCCTTTTTGTATTGCTGTTTTGTTCATTTAGACACTAGTATGAGTCGATATCACGTCCAGTGGTTCCCAGAATCCTGTGTGTACAATGAAACTAAAGGGCCTGAAAAAGCAACTGGCCTGACCTATGTAAGTTGAAATTCAGTCCCTTGCTTAACTTGTAGTGGTTTCCAGTCATCAAGGATGGGGAAAAGGAAGAGGGAAGTGATATGTAATAGCATGCAGAATGTTTTATACCTGTCATTGGTACAGTAGGAGTGGTTTTTTTTACTTCACTGCAGAGTAGTGATATATTTGGGTTTGTTGATTTAACCAAACATGAAAGGTAGTCTAAATGAATGTACTGCATTCAAATGCTTTACATGGGTATCTGAAGTGTTCATATTACACTACAAGACAAACCTGATCTATGATTAGCACTCCTGGGAACCACCACTATACAAATACAAATATTGAATTTTAATCAAAATAAGCAGCTAGGCTTGTTTTCAGATATAGGGAGGATCCACAAGCAAGGCTCCTCCTGAGAAGAGTAAGAGATGAAGAAAAAACTTCACATGGTAGATGCTAGACATTAATGCTGGAAGGTGCAAAGATATCACAGTGATTCTCCATCACTGGCAATTTTAAAATCAAGATTGGATTTTGTTTAAAAGATATTCTTTAGTTCAAACAGGAATTAAATTCGGGGAAGTCTTATGGCCTGTATTATGCAGTAAGTCAGACCAGATGATCACAGTGGTCCCTTCTGGCCTTACAGTCGATGAGTGCTGCAGTATAAGAACCTGAATAGAAGAGAGAAAGTTTCTAAATTATTATAGTTCTGTATAAATAAATATTATATCCCAATTATATTTTAGCAATGGCATTTCTTCCTACTGAATGTATTGTCCAATCTAGTACCACTCTACTCAAGTAATATGCTATACAAACATTACATTACTAAAATTGATACACCACACTCAAGTCAGTGAATAATGAAAGAAACTTTAAGAAAACTTGATCAGCCTTTCTTTTTTACCCTGTGCCATAATAAGAAGTCAACTCATTGAAGTTAATGGCAAGTAAAGTTAGACTAAATCAAAGGGAATAGTTGGAATTTACTACTGTCAGAGAGTCAAATACTGTCGATGGATTTAAAAAGAAGACAGATAATTTTGTGATCAGTAACAACATTTGGAGTTATGCATGCTAATGTAAGGGAAAGCTAATATAATTAAATAAGTTTATTGCCACTAGAGGTCAGGAAAGATTTTTTTTTCTCCATGAACAGCATTGCACGACTGGCCAGGTGCATTATGGTTTTTTGGTTTTCCTATAAATTATTTTACAGTAATTAGTCTAGTCTGATTTGGAAAACCCTGTGTCTATTTGTAAATTCCAATCAATACACTGAGATATTGAATATTATTCTAAAATAGTTAAGAAACTACCTTCGATAAACACATGGTTGCAAAGGGCCTGATGCTGAAAACCATACTCCCTTTAGGTCTGATCCTGCTTCCAGTGATGTCAATGGCAAAACTCCCATAGACTTTACTAGATGTACAATCTGACTCTTGAATAATCTTAAATAGGAATTACAGGAGTCAGGTTTGCAGGATCAGCTTCTAATACTGTAATATTCTACTTCGGATGTATCCCGAGCAATCTAATATGACAAATAAGGGGCCTAGTCCTACAATACTTACTCATGCCAATAGTTAACTCAGCATCAAAGTGGTGATTTGTTTACAAGTGCTGTTCTAAAGGGACTGCACTGGAATGTTTCAGTAATCTATTAGTCATGCACTTTTCATGTATGCAGTGTTGCTGTATCTGTGTTGGTCCCAGGATATTAGAGAGACAAGGTGGGTGAGGTAATATCTTTTATTGGCCCAACTTCTGTTGATGAGAGAGACAAGCATTCAAGCTTACACAGAGCTCTTCATCAGGTCTGGGAAAGAAACTCACAGTGTCACAGCTAAATACAAGGTTTGAACAGATAGTTTAGCATAAGTAGTTAACACAGATTTCAAGGGACCATTCAAGATGAAGTGGCCTGCTAAAATATGTTGAAATATGTGTTAACTACTTATGCTAAACAATCTGTTCAAAGCTTGTATTTAGCCGTGACACTTTGAGTTAGTATCCCAGACCAGAAGAAGAGCTCTGGGTAAGTGCATAAGCTTGGTCTCTCTCACCAACAGAAGTTGGTCCAATAAATTATATTACCTCAGCCACTTTGTCTCTCTAATGCACTTCCCATGTCAGTTATGAGAAAATTACTTAGCTTAACTCTAACACTCTTCAGCTGTTTTCAAACACAGAGTACAAAACTTTCAGAAACACCTAAGTGCCGTAAAGAACTGAAAATCAGTGGGACTTGGGAACCTAAGTCACTTAGGTGACTTTCAGAAATTTTACCAGAAGCTAGAATTTCTCTTATTAAACTTGATTTGAACAAAAACATGTAGGCGGGGTTTTTCAAAGGTGTCAGGGGTCTTGTTTAGTTGTTGCCTTAAAGATATCCTTCTACATATAACTGTGTTTTATTGCTCAGTTGTGGATCCTTTCCTGCTTAGAGGGATAACGTGCTATATCAAAGGGTGGAAGTAGGATGTCCTCAAGGAAAGACGTATAAGGCCTTCTTGGGATTTGTATGCACGTTAAAAGGAGTTCTTAAATGTAGATTAAGCCTGTCTTTCATCTCAGTTTAAATCAGCTTCCTTACATTTATTTAATTGGATTAGCATTTTTCATCCTCACACTGCCATTCCCCACTGCCATCGTGCCAAGGGATTGTTCCCTGTGTTAAAAGTTAGCTACTTTGATGCAGCATGACTAAGGTACTGTATAGGATTGAAGAAAGTATCCAACCACTATAATAATGTTTTCTGATTATAATTTAATAATAATATAGGCAATATTTGCTTTGTTCTCTGAATAAAAAAACACATTTGTATGTGCTAATCATGTAGAGAAAAATGCACTTTACTAGAAAAAAAAACATTTAATCTTATGCCAACATTATGGTTTTAAAAAAAGGTTTATTCACAGCATATACTGTTTTTCTTGGTCTAGGAAAACTACATAATTCTTCAGGACCTGTCATTTTCATGTAAATATAAAGTGACCGTTCAGCCAGCAAGATCTAAAGGTCGTTTGAAGGCTGAAAGTATTTTCTTTACCACCCCACCTTGCTCTGCTCTTAAAGGAAAAAACCACAAGCACATTACTTGTCCTGCTGAAGGAGGTAAGTCACGGTCTGAAGAACTTGCAGAGTAGATTTCAAGTGCACTTCTAGGCACTCAAAAACAAGTTTTGTAAAACAATTCTCAAATGTGTTTTGAAAGACTCAGAATAAGTAGAGGAGACTTATTTTTGTGTATCTGAATGTCCAGGTAATTACCAGGATACCCTGGTAAGTAATGTTTTTCAACATTAAAGAGTCTTTGAATTCTTTTAGTAGGAAATTTGTCTAACAAATACTTTCAACATTTTTCCTCGTTACAAATGCAATCAAATTAAATACATAGGGGTGTGGTTTTACCAACTTGACAAGGCTATCATAGTATTGGTTGGTCACTTAGATAAGAATTTCAGGGGATTATTCAATATATTGTAGCAGTATTATTGTAGCAATGATTTACATTGCTATTCTTTTTTTAAGGACTTGTTTGTGCTGGAAAGTTTTATCAGTTATACAGATAGAATTATACAGATATTAGTTATACCTTTATAACCCACCTCGTGAATGCTCTTATTCCAGTATAAGAGGGCTGTTTTTGGTTTAACTTATCCCCTTTCCCAAATAAGCTATAGCAAAAAAAAAAAGCATTTTTATACTGGTATAAATGTCCACACAGAGAGTTATACTGGAATAACTGTATCAGTTTAAATTCAAACCCTAGGTTATATCCAAAACTACTTTCCTGTGCTGACAAGGCCTAAGGCTGTACGTTTTAATTGCCAGTGCTTTGCACCTTGTGTAGTTATTTACACCTATCCAACGTGAGTGTAAAATGCTCCCGTTTTGAATTGACAGATTGTATACCACTTTGCACAGGTAAGTGACCAAACAAAATACAAGTCAGTTAATAATCAAGCTATGGGACTATACTATACTTTTTACCAGATGCAATACTGAGACGTTACCTTGAAACTCTCCTAAATTAGAGATTTATGCTGTTGCCTCTTCAGAAGTATCTTAAGAAAAGTATCTTAAGAAAAGAGGTGGCAAAAAGTTGGCAGAGTCCTGAGTAAACTAGATAAAGAAATGCAATAGACACATCAAGAAACAGACTGTGACCCTGGGATCTTAAGCTATATTAACATTGTTTCAGCAGTTCCTCAAAATTTAACTTATCCTCTTGCCTCAAATTTTTGCAGCATCAGTTCTTCCTAAAGTGCTGGCCAAACCCGAGAATCTATCTGCCTCTTTCATTGTTCAGGAAGTAAATATTACTGGTCACTTTTCGTGGAAGATATCAAAGGCAAGTCTTCATCAGCCCATGACAGGGTTTCAAGTCACCTGGGCAGAGGTTACTACAGAGAGCAGACAAAACAGCTTACCCAACAGCATCATTTCCCAATCACAGATACTGCCAGCAGTAAGTTTTTTTCTTTTTATTGCTGGGGGCATTGCATGTTTGTGTGCATGGCTAATTTTGTATTTTTAGTCATGATTTAGCTGCCAGGCACCATTGTGTTCTCTGGTTCTGCATGTGTGTCTGAGCAAAAAATGGGTTCACTTCCCCCCCCTTGTTTGGGATACATCTCCAGAACAACTACTTATCTTGATGACACATCAAACATTGTAATGTGTATGATTGTCAAATTAGCAACCATATTTGAGATATGCCTTAATGAAGGCAAAGATCATCTAGGCAGCAGAAGATATTCTTCTTTTGATGATCAGGCCGGTCTGTTCCTAGGATAGTAAGGATTTGTTAATTCTTTGATATCCAGGATGGGAAACTTAGTGGGGTTACCCTGTGTAGCGGGGTGAACGCCCGCTCCAGCCCTGAAGGGGTTGGAAAAGCCCTGCAGAGGGCTGGGGCTGAGTAAAGGAGCTAAACCCCGGCTGATTGGGGAAGTGGCTGCAGCTGGGGCCACGCCCCAAACTGAGCCACTCAGCCTTATAAGAAGGCCAGGGTAGGCAGAGCTGAGAAGTCTCCCTCTGACTGCAGAGAGAGATAGGCCTGGCTGCAGGGAGCTCATCCAGGAACCTAGAGTGAGGCAGGGCTGGGGAAAGGCCTTGGGGGCTGGGAAGCCCTAGGCCAGCAACTCCCCAGGCTGCAGGGCCTGGTCCTAGGCCCATATAGGTATTGGGGTTGCGGAGGGGCAACCTGAGGGTGGGTAAAGGCAGCCAGTCCAAACCCCTTGTTGCTGGTGATGATTGGCTGATAGACTGCAGTCTGCCCCAGGGCGCTGGGGCTAGATGGTGACTGGCAGTAGCCATAACTGAGGTGACATTGGGATGGGGGGTGGGGGTTCCCCTGGGTGGGGACACCCAGAGAGAGAGATTGGGGTACTGCCAGGGGGGCAGCACCCAAGCCAAGGGCACTGGGGTCTGGGAGGGACACGGGGGCCAACAACAGGTGGGACACTGGGCCTGCAGAGGGCGCTCTGGATGCTGGTGAGCTAATTCCCGAGACGACCAGTAGGAGGTGCCGCAGGGGTGAGTCCACGCCAGATTACACCCTGAATGCAAGATAATTTCTCTCTCCTTTGCATTAACCTTCCCTCTGCTCCATCTGGATATGTGCTTTGTGGAAAATAAAGCTCTTCTCCCTTTTCTGCAAATTTGTACAAAAGTATAAAGGGACACACCCTCACACTGACAGAGAGGGGACTAGCAAGTTTCTCTGGGCCTGTTCTACACTAACAAGATGCAGTTGTGAGACTTGTTCTACCGGGGGGGGGGGGGGGGAAGGGAGCGAGGAGCTTAAAAGGGAAAAGCCACCTCAGGAAGGCCTGGAGGAAGAGGAAAAAGGCTGCCCTGCCCCGGCTTGGCTTGCTGAGAGGGAGACAGCAACAAGCCTCATTGCTCCTGAAGCTGCACAACCCAGCCCCAGAGCAGCATGCCCCATGGAGCGCAGAGGCTGGAGGTGGACGCTGTTTAGACTAAGCCTAAAGGGCTGACTCAGGAAGACTGCCTGAGATCCAGGTCACCCTTATTTCTCTTTAATTTCCCACAGACTCCCCTCTCCCAGAACGGAAGAAAGAGGGGAGGGAACTTTTCTTTAGTTTGTTTGCTCCAAGACACCCTTGGGCATCTGTCAGGAGGTGAGAAAAAGACATTGCAAGGACCTGAAGCAGGATCTGGAGGGGACTTGAGGGGATCCCTGTCCCCCTTACGCAGACAGTTAAATAATGGTAATTCAAAATAGAACTAGATCTCTGTTCATATAAAGTGGGAGAAGATTTAACTTGCACTATTCTCCCTTTTCTTTGCAAGGGCTCCAGTTCCTCCCGTGGTAGTAGAAGCAGCAAGCAGGAGGGAGGCCATTCAAGAGATGTTGCCAGCTCCACCAGAGGCAGAGGTTGCTACTAAGCACCCTGGGCCTGATCCAAAGCCCAATGAAGACAGTGGTCTTTCCATTGACTTCAGTGAGCTAGATCAGAACAAGTGTGCTGCGCATACTTTAAATGCTCTGTCTGCTGGCACAGCAATTTCTTCCGGCAGGCAATTCCTGGAATGCTAGGTGTAGCTACCAGGTGGAGCTTGCTTTGTGTTTGTTCAGTGTTTGGTTCCACAGACCTTAGTTTAATGCCACTAGTTCAGTCCTAGGACTAGTCCAGTGGATGGCTGTCTGGTGATTCAGCAGCCCAAACGACCTTGGGAAGAAGTTGAATTGAAGGTCTGATTCTTCACTGCATTTCCTTGAGTCATTTACAAGTGTTCATTCTCATTTGGAAATATTTTACACCTAATCTGCACTTATTTGTCTGACTGTAAATGATCGCACAAGGTGCAAAGCAGTGAAAAGTCTGGCCCAGGGTTAATTAATACTTCAACTCTCACCACTTCAAAAATGGGATTAAAAATTCAGGGCCTGTTCATTAGCCTGGGTAGCTGAGTGGATCTATACTAATTTTCACCAGCTGAGGCTCTTGCCCTTGACTCAAAAAGGCCATCAGTTTACAAATCAATGGCAACTAAAGACAGACATTGGCTTCTATAAAATATTTCATAAGATGTACAATGTACTTGTTATTTGAAAAGTAAATAAAACCTAGAAATAAACTCCATTCATGACACTGACACTTTAATTTCAGGAAACTGACTAGAAAATTGAAGTTGGAAGTACACTACGGTCACGGTTGGCTTAACTACCTCTTTCATGGGTATGAATGTAGCTAGGTTGACCTAAGATTTAGGTGTAGACCAGGCCTGAGAACTGGCTTTATTTCAAATTCTTGCTCTGCCACGTATTTTTTGATACCAACTCTTTTAGGAACATGTAACCAAACCAAAAGAGTAGTGAACTACATAATAAATGTATGAAATCTTTAAAATAAAATCATAAGAAAACAATCTGTGGGAGTTGCAACACAATTTTAAAACAAGTATGTATGTGAGAAAGAAAGTATCTACTTAATGTACAATTTCTGGATGGAGCAATTGGGTCTATTATTTCTGGTAGACATACAAATTTATTCCGTTCATATATTTTTAGGATCATTATGTGCTGACTGTCCCCAACCTGAGGCCATCAACGCTTTACCGATTAGAAGTGCAAGTGCTGACAACAGGCGGGGAGGGGCCAGCCACAATAAAATCTTTCCGAACACCTGATCTGCTGCCATCTTCACCCCACAGTAAGTGTTGTGATCTGACATAAAAGTATTTGGACTAGTGTACGTGCAGAGAAAGGCACTTAAAACATTGTCTACTGCAACAATTAAAACAAAGTCATGGGATTCTACTGCTCTAACTCTTTATACAGTGAGCAGTCTTAAACTGTTCTGTTTTTAGAGATATTATGGATTCCAGGGATAGTCCCTATAATTAAAATGGAGAATCCTGCTGGAACATTTAATGGCTCTGAAACCAGAATGAACTTTTTAATTGCATCCATTGATTTACTGCACAGTTTTTGTTTCCCCCGTTATATAAATACATATAAAGGGTAAGTGAACGCAATAATTTTAGAATATTTAGCACATGAATAATGCTAGTGTTTCTCATAATCACTATCTTCCCTCTAATGTAACACTGCAAATTTGCACCAAGGCTTAGTAGAAACAGCGGCAAAAAAAAAAAAAAAAAATCAGAGCCACAAACTGTTAACCAAGGTACGTCCGTAAATATTCTGTTATGATATCTAATGATCAGTTACACAAATATTGGTTCAGGTTAAAAACAAACAATCCACCTATTTGGTATTATAGGCTAAGATGGTAGCTCAGATTATCAGTCTCCAAAACCTGTTAAATCCAGGTTGCTCTTTGCGGGGGTGGGGGAGGACTGCAAAAAGGTAGTTTAAGTGATCTGGTGATATTATCTCAGGACCTCAGGGTCATGTTGAGGCCATTGCAAAGTATTGTAGCAAAGAAACTACACGTGTGGCACAGCCAGTGCATTGCTTTGTGAGAAATCTATGGATAAGACATCTGGGATACAGTGGTGCTGTAGAGAGAAATGCAAGTAGTAAACAATTGGCTGAATTTAGGAATTAAGGGTTCTACAGTGATCAGAGGACTTACCAGTATGCCGGGGCCTTTAAATCATCCCAGAGCTACCAGCTGCAGAGGCGGCTGGGAGCCCCGGGGCTCAGGGGCGAATTAAAGGGCCCATGGAGCTCCGGGCCCTTTAAATCACCATGGGAGCCCTGCCGCCACTACCCCGGGGTGGCAGGGCTCGGGCGGTGATTTAAAGGGCCCGGGGCTCCAGCTGCTGTGAGGAGACCCGGGCCCTTAAAATCCCTGCTGGAGCCTGGCTGCCGGGGCCCTGGGGCTCCAGCAGCCGGGCTCAGGCAGGGATTCAAAGGGCCCGGTGCTCCTGCCACTGCGGGGAGCTCTGGGCCCTTTAAATCACCACCCAAGACCGGCTGCCAGAGCTCCGGCGGTGATTTAAAGGGCCCGGAGCATATGTCAGCACAGGCAGAGTTTTTTGCAGGTTCAGGGCCTTGTATGCAATTATTCCACTGAAAGGATGGATGATCCAGTGGTTACAGTGGCAATCTGGGCTGTAAGAGATCCCGCTTCTAGTCTTGCTCTGCTGCAGACATTCTGTGTAAGTCACCTGGTATTTCAGTTTTCTGCCTGTAAAAGGGGGATAATAGCATTGCCCTGCCTTATAGAGGTGTTGTGGGGATAAAAATGTTAAAGATTGGGAGCCGCTCAGATACTACGGTGATGGGGGCCTAATTATTTTATCGTATATACAACAAAGGTTAAAAGTGGTGAATACCCTTTCTTCTTTATTTAGGGCCTCATCTGAAACAGCACCATCCACATCACTACAAGCCACCCCCAGAAAAATACTAGACTGCTTAAGATGATTAAACGAATAACTGAGAGAAAAACTGAGCTCCCACAAGACGACCAGAAAAATGCACATCTGTAGGAACAATGAATCAATTTTTTCCAGTGGAAGTTATCATCCTGTATGATTTGTAGCCACTTCTACATAGTTTAAGCATGAAGAATAGTGTTTGTACCAATGCCAGGATGAAATGTACAGCAACTATCATGAAGTACCACCCCTATTCTGCTAACTGAAGATTGCATCCAATTCAACACATCTGAGAAAAATCAAATGTATGTTTGTTGTAATAACATTTTGTTTCCTAGGTTTAAAGTAGATGGAAGGGGTGCAGTGAATAACAGAGGCTTTTGTTTTGCTAATCTTTATAACAATATCTGAGACATTGTTCTTTTATGTATACATAGCTTTGAAAGCCAGAGGCCAGATCTTCAGCTGGTGTAAATTAGCATCTCTCAGTTGAACTCAGTGGAGCTGAGCCAATTTACATCAGCTAAGCCTGTACAGTAAATAGTTTGCCATTAAAGGATATCTCCATTTACCTAAAATAAGTGCACAACCAAATAAGTAGGAATAACAGATACATACAGTTCAGTCTGCAATGGAAACTACTATTAACTTAACTTAACAACAACAAAAGTAGATCGTGCTAGCTGATGTATTTTCTTAGTAATATAGCTATATTTTCTGTGGAAATGGTATCATGAAGCTCTCTCCTTAACAAAATGTGTTAACAAGGGAGATTTTCAAAGGCACAAATGGCAGTTAGGTGACTAACTTCCACTGATGTTCTATAGTAGCTGGACACATGCCTTTGAAAATCTCCCCCAATTTTTTTTTTAATATTTTGAAGGGAACCCTGTATTTTCCCTGTTAGAGAACTAAATAGGGAATGGTCACATTTTAGACACGAAAATTCCAAGGCACATGTTATGTTACTTTGGGGTTTCTTTGGCTTTTTGATGTGCATATCTATTTTCCCCAAGGATCTTTTGAACAGCAGAATGGATGTGCTGGCTACATGGTACTCCGGTCATAGAATTGTGACAATACATTGATGTCTGGAAGTCATTGGCTTGTAATTTATTTGACTGCATTTTTCAAATTCAGGCATGAAGGGTACCCTGTTTTTTAACCATAAGGGAATGCAAATGACCTTATTGTGCAATGTAAACAGGAAGGGTAATTGCCACACAGAGAGACAGTCTTTAATAGTAAAGAGAAACTGCTTGGCTTTATAATCAGAATGATGGAAAATTTGTCTCTACACACGGTGGCCATACAAATAATCCTGATGACGCAACCTCATGTCCAAAAAATTGTTGTCTTTGCGTTCTCGTGTACAGATTCCGTTACACATCTTTAAATGAGAATAATACATATCAAGCTTTCTGTAACTTGAAATTGACAAATAACTTCATGGAATCCCCCAACAACAAGTGCCACAAAAACAAACCCAAATCTAACTACAGATAAAGTTTCTATACTCAACTTCTTCCTGAGATACCCTCAGAAGGGAAAATACTCCTTGTCACAACAACAATAAACATTCTGAAGAACACCAAATAAAAAGATAACACATCTGTGCTTGAAACTGAAAGAAAATGATTATGCTCAGTATACCATAGCACTGAAGAAATTCAAATACAGTTCATCTGCATTGAAAAGGTTTGACCAGGCTGATGTTACCAAGAGTCAAGAGCAATTTCTGACTAGTTTGTTCATTCAGTTTTTCCAGTATTTGAATATTTTTTTTAAAAAGACAACTCAGAGTTTATTGTATTAATTCTGCCATTCTCTTTCTATTTTTCCTAATACCTTTTTGATATATGCACCCATGGAGCAAGTAACTCCACAAAGCTGTCTTTAGGGTACAAGTCTTGGGTCTTCGATAGTTACTTCACAAGGTATTAAGGGCTGTTCATGCTTTGGAGCTAACAAACAAACAAAACCCCCACATACCATAACTTCTCTTCCCTATTACATAATGCGAGCAAACTTTGAAGGGAACTGTAATCGACAGAAGGTCAACTATTTTCACCCAGCTGAAATCTGACATGCATCTAGGTACACAGGTCTTCAGAAATAAATTACTAAATCTATGTAATTTGAATAGGACCAACGCATGGCACCACTTATACATTTAAATTACATAGGACATAAGTAAGGCTAGGAAAGTGCTCTGGAGTTAGATTGTGACACCTCATTCCCTTAGGCTTCTCTGAAAACTTCAGCCTAAATATTTTGGCCAGACTCTATTCTCTGTAGCGCTCGAATAAATTGACTGATGTTAATGAAGTTATGCTGAATTCACATTGATGTAACGGAGTGCAGAATTTGTCTCTTTGTCTTTTTGAAATCCAGTGTCGATGACAAACCTTGGATTCAAGAAGATAGAACTTGGCAAATTAACAGCTCTTGATTATTATATGATAGGTCTTGATTGTTGAGTGGAATGCCATATTCCTCCAAATGGTTTGAGCTGCTTGCTAGATTTGTTACTTTTTCTTAATTGGATGTTTCAGAAGGAGACTAAAGTTCATTAAAATATTTATAAAATAGTCTGGAGGTTGTTATATATTTATATAAAGGTAAATTATTTATTATAGGACCAATCAGCCTAACTCAGGCAAAACTGTCTTTGAAGAACTGCTATTGAGTTTCGCCTGAGTAAGGCCAGCAGGATTTGACTCTTTATATCTTGGAGATAAAGGTGAAGGGCATGGGAGTGGAATGAATAGATTGTGGTTTATAAACAGATGATTAAGACTTTAATCTTGCTCTTTAATAATCAGTTTCTCAACTCAACATTCAGCTATAGAAATTTCATGGGAATAAATTATCCTGAAATCATAAGAGTCAACCAAACCATCAACACATGGGGCATTAAATGATATCTTATTTGTTCTTAAATACCAGCTATTTTTCATATAATTATTTGAATTTAACATCATATATTTGAAGACTTTTATGCCTAGATCCAGTGGGAGTTAGGCACCTCAATACCTTGAGGATGTGGGTCTTAGTGTCTAATTCATAAATCCTCATTTACTGAATTGTACAGGGTTTATTACAGTTAACCTAATTTGACTAGTCTAAATCATGCTAACATTGCAATCAGCAATGGAGTTTGAAATCTCTACTTGAGATTTTTAGTTAAAGATTTTTTTCTCAGTTCCTCAGTAATAAAGATCAAATATGGATAGTGTGATATTTCTAGGTATGCTGCACTTTTACACCCATATATTACTAACTTACTTAGCATACTATTCTGATTGATTTATCAGTTAAATCCTGGATGACATACATTTTGTTTGCTATTTTTGCTCTAACATTTTTTATGCATTTGAAACAATTTTTTACATTGAATGCTGTTTAAGAATGAGAATTTTTTTTCTTATGGCAGTTAATTTTTGAGCTTTTGATAGAGCAGAGTAAGAAATATTTTCTAGTCCTATCTTAAAACTTAAAAGGAGAAAGGTTGTACCATACTAATATTGGTGCCATGTGGTATTCCCTGGGAATATGAAGGGGACCAGAACTTCTTACAAATAAAAGGTCTGAACTGCAAGATACTAAACACCCTCAACTTTCATAGCATTCATCTGTAGTTGAGGGCATAATGCAGCAACTCCCAGGTGGCACTAGTACCTTGCAAGATCATGCACAAAATCAAAGAAACACTGGTCTGTTCTTGCACCATTAATGCAAATAGGAATTTACCATTGCCTTTAGTGGAAGCAGGATTGAGGCTGAAATATTCCATGGGTCTAATCTGAATTCCTTTCCTACCCAAGACTCTCATTGAAATCAGTCACAGTTCTGGATATAGAGGCCCTGTGTCAGGAAAGCATTGCTATTCAAGACAGAAATTAAGCACATGCTTAACTGCATTGATGTTAATAGGACATAAGCACATGTTTAAATTAAACATGTGCTTAATTCTGTCTTGAATAGGAATAGATTTAAGCACGCCCTTAAGTGCTGTCCTAAATCAGCGCCTTAAAGAACATAGGATAAGGCTCAGACTGTTTTAAATCCCTTATACAACACTCTTAGAAAAATTATTTTTGCCCTATGTATCTGTAAAGGTAGCTGTGATATTGACTTATTTATTAATTCCTTTTCTTTCCCTGTATGCCAAGTATATTCTGACATTTTTATCAGTACCTGTGAACATCAATTACTATAAATACTGTTATGCAAACTTGTGCATTGTAACCCGGAATCTGATGCTAATAAGCTGTTGCATGTAGTTTAAGTAAATAAATAAAAACTATTTAAAAATGTAAATGAATACCTGCAGATGTGGATGATGGTTATATATGGTTTTGCATGCCCAAACGCATTGTTCAGTTATAGGCATGAAGTGTAATGACTGTCTTACCTCTACTGAATATATTAGTAAGGTACAATTTAAAAAGTAATTAACAGAGGTCTATATGTGAAATAATTTTTCCTTTTTACTTAATTATATTGTAATGCAGAGATGACAGAACTACTTATCTGTTGCCCAAATTGGCTGTAGAAATTATGTTCCTATAACTGTCATTTAAAGTCAATATTTATTTATGTATGTAATACAGAAAGGTTGATTTTTATGTATGTGTGTGTCTGTCATGTTATTTAGAGCAAAAATGCTTCTTGTAAAAACATTTTGTAAAAAAAAATGTAATTGTAAATAGAGTCTGATATTCTGTTACTCAGTATTTTCATGTTTAGAATTTGTACATACTGTTTAAGTAATAAACTATCCTTCTACATGGAAATGTAGCTTTATTATCTCCTGCAGAAAGAGCTTATGCTTTTGCTTCTATTAATTCCTAGTCTTATCCTCTTTTTCCATAAGTCAGCTTCAAACTGCATATCTTTTCTGTGTCCATCTGTCTCATATCAGGTTCTGGAGAATGTTAATAAGAAAGCATCCTATTTTAATTAAGTATTTCAGAGCTTGACAGTCATCACCTCACAAGGCTTTCATCACATTTGAAATCATTATTCATAGTGTCGAAGTAGAAACCATTAACACCAACTTCTGCAGTATCGTGGTTTTTTTACTTTTGGAAGTGGTCTCAAAAATCTCACACTACATTGGGATTTCACATGAGTGCTTTACGTTCTGAAACAGTTACTTTCCGGCTACAATCCTTCAGTAGAAAAATGTGACAGTGTTTCTGTTTAATATAAGAGAACACAGTAACACTATTCATTCACCTTTGCTTTTTACAAATGGATAGAGGAGGAAGAAATTAAAATGTTACCAATTATAAACCAATGGCTTGACCCTGCAAACTTTCCATGTATGAAACTTCTAGTGAAATCAATTGGAACTTCATGAATGACGGGCTTCTGAATTTGATCCCATTTTCCCATTGTTAACAGTATATTATTTTAATTAAAGCAAACATCTAGCTTACTTCAATATCAGGGTTAGACTATTAAAAGTGAAGGAATCTCTCCTTCAAATGCAATACTGTAGATAAGGGATCGGCAACCTTTGGCATGTGGCCCATCAGGGAAATCCGCTGATGGGCCATGGTGGTTTGTTTACCTGCAGTGTCCGCAGGTTCGGCCAATCGCAGCTCCCACTGGCCATGGTTCGCTGTTCCAGGCCAATG